AATTCACACTTTTACCATGGCTCATTATACTCATTCAAGCTTGAAATTCTCCATAACACATTACCTACAATAAAAAATTTAATACGCAACTATCCAAGACTACTCCCACCCAATCTTAATTGTCTCTATTGTAATCAATCACCTGAAAATACTACACACCTATTTTCTTGTCAAGCTAATTCTAATTTGGACACAATTCCATGGCTAATAATCCAACAATCAATAATCTCTGAAATCTCAAATTGGTATAGATCCTCCAAAATCACACAAACTAAACAACTATTACAACCTCTATTCCAATCTAACTTCAATCATACTTCACCTGTAATACTTGCAGCTGGATTAATTCCATCATCTCTAATTAACTCCATATATCCAATATTTACTTCCCACAAAAAAACTTCAATCATCATTCACATCATCTCCTACAATCTAATAACTTTCTATTATAAAAATGTCTGGCTTCTACGATGTGCTTTGTTTAACTCATGGTTGAAACAAAATAATATCAACTTGAAAAATAAAACAGCTAATCAATTATACCCAATTAATCAGATAACACAAACACCCTCAAGATCTCTTTCAAATCCTAATTCTAATAATTCTCATCTAGTTTTAATAAATAACTTCATTAACACTGGATCTGACTTCCTATTACCTAGGTAATATCCGGATCAGTCAACAATATCTATGATGCAGTTAAAATTGTTAAATTGAGACTGAATAAACTTCATAGACTTTGTTTGGCATATCTGTTTTTTCTGAAATGTTAAATTTAAATATGTATATATTTTCTTTTTAATTATTTTCAAGAGGAATAGCCTCATATAAAGTTAATTTGGAATTTATTTTGTGAATTATTTTTATTATATTTACTTTATTCTAATAAAATTATATGAGCAGGATATTGCCTTTATAAAAAAAAAAAAAAAAAAATAAATTTTACCTGAACTACAACAATTCAGCATTGACACCCAAAAATCATAAAACTGTAATAAATGTTGAAAGTGTGCGATCAGAGTTATTGGAGTCACCAAATCTGGAAAACTAAATTAAACTCACTATATACAACTATAGGGTTTCTATTCAAATAAGGGTTTATTCAAATTATTTGTTTTACTCATTATGAATTTGAGTATTTGAATTGGAAGTTTATTTGAATAAAATGAATAATGAATAATGAATAATTCAATAATTCGTTAATTCCAATAAAACGAATGAACGAATAATTCAAATAAACAAATAAACAAATAAAACAAATAATTCACTCAATAATTTAAAAAAACCAAATGAACGAATAATAATAATTCAAATAATTCGAATAGTTTGAATAAAATGAATAAACAAATAGTCCAAATAAACAATTCGAATAATAAAATGAATAATTCGAATAAAACAAATAACGAATAAACGAAATAAAATGAATAATTCGGGCAAAACAACAATTCGAATGATAAACGAATGATGACAATTCGAATGATAAACGAATGATACAATTCGAATGATAAACGAATGATGACAATTTGAATAATAAACGAATGATGATAATTCGAATAATAACAATAAACGAATGATGTCAATTCGAATAATAATGATAAACGAATGATGTCAATTCGAATGATAAACGAATGATGTCAATTTGAGTAATAATAATAAACAAATGATGTCAATTCGTGTAATAATAATAATAAACGAATGATGATAATTCGAATAATAATGATAACAGTCAAACGATATGTCACAGGAAGTGTAATTAGATATATAAAATAGAAAATCCAACTCGTGTAACAAATCAGTTTTTTAAAATATCTCATTATTTTTATAACAAATACAAACATCATTATTAATCAAAAATAAAACTATGGCATTATAGCTTTCTAATGAGCCCACTTCCATATTGATAGAGGCTCTCTATGTTAAGCTATGTTTATTCAAAAACAGCATTACTTTTTATTTCAAAGCTAAGATTTTTTACCAATATTACCTTTATAAACTTGGTGAGTGGTTGAAAAGATGTAAAATATTGTAAGCTTTCATATAGGTATAGCTTTATGTGGATTGTTGTTTATTAAAGTTTAGTGAAAATGGCAAAAAACTCCAAAAAACATATTAAATTTTGATAAATTTATTTATCAATACACAAAAAGGAAAAAATGTAGGCAGGAGATTATCAGGAGATTATCAGGAATAATGACCAAAAATAGATAATTAATTTCCAAATGCGGTAATTTGGTTGACAAACTTTAACACCAAGATTTTTTACTATTTTATTAATAATCTCTCCTAATTTTTTTTAAAAAGAAGGAATAAGTCTTAAAAAATCAGTGTCTCGAATTTGGTGAAGATTGCTGAGCAAAAAAGGGTTAAAATTAAGGTTTGTGGCTAATTTTATTAATAGAATTTCAACGTTGATCACCAAAAAATTTCGGAAAATACACTTCCCAATCGTTTAATGTGACAAATCGTTCGACTAATATTGGGTAAAATACCTGACAATAAAATAAATAATATGATCATCATAAAATATTTGATTGCAAAAAAAACAATAAAATAAATACGACAAATATGATAATAAAATGTAACAATAACACATAATAAATAATTTCTTAGTTTATCACTATAGATGAGTGTCTAAATTGTTTTTGGGGTTAATGATAATGATTTGCTTTAAATACAACTAAAAGTCACATGTATATACACAAAATCCACAAAGTTTAGTGAATTATCCAATAAAAAATTCAATTTCAGCATTTTAGACAATTGAGAAAATTAATAGATTTTAAAAAAAAATCCGCGAAATCGAATATATTATTAATATGAAATCCGTTAAATCGAGATAATAATAAAATAATTATTATTACATATTAATATGTAAACTCGGTCATGAATATTAAGACAATGGAGTGAAAATTTTGGCCGACTTATCGAGTTTAAAAAAATTTGGTTTTGAAAATTTATCCGTTAAACCCTAAATCCGCTAAAATTGAGGTCCGCTAAATCGAGACTCACTGTGTAACAAAATGGGAGGTGCGAATAACAATTTCCCTATTATTGGGAAAAAACCGTTTGACGGAAAAAAAATCAATTAATATTAAATCAGGCTTGAAATTGTAACTTGAAATAATAATAATGATAACCAGTTTTTTCTGTTAATCCGGATTTAAACCGGATTTAATTTATAATAATAATGGAACGCTTAAGACAAACTTCAATTAATGATTATATACATATCATATATAGTAAACAAACATGTTTAGCCATTTTTGTAATATTAATTGAATTAGTAAGTATCAAATCCTCACACATATCGCGTGTGTGTGTAACGTTAACAAAGGAAAATACGGGAAATACAAAGTGAACCTTAAAATTTTTTGTATAAAAATAATTGATTCTCTTTAATCTTTCGTTTGATTAATTAATTTTCTTTTTTCCATTATCAATTTGAAATTTGAAATTTGAAATTTGGAATTGGAATTTGGAATTTGGAATTGGAATTTGGAATTTGGAATTTTAATTTTTTCTTTTTTTTAAATATTTTTTATTCTATAAAAAAAATGTCAAATCAGCAAACTCCGGAGCTACAGCAGCAGCGTGTAAGTCAATTAAAGAAACTACAACAGCTTCAACTAGAGGAACTACATCAGCTTCAATTAGAGCAACTAGATCAACTTCAACCAAAGCATCTACAGCAGCAGCTAAAGCAGATACAGAAGCAGATTATGTTGCAATTAAAACAATCACAATATCAACAAGAGCAAGATTTCCTGCTGTTTCTGCAGCAACAGACATGTTTGCCCCCACAACAATTGAAAAAAGATAAGATGGGCCCACGTAGATACTCTCTACTTGCATGCGACTCATGTAATAAAGGACACCAAGCATGTGTGATGGAAAAAGGATCTGCTTTTTGCAATAGGTGCATTGATAAAAAAAAAAAATGCACTTTTTTTGGACCTCGCGAAAAAAGAGGCCGCAAGCCTCATAGAAAAGACAAACAAAAAGTAAAAGCAATCTTTTTTTTTCAAAAATTTTCTTTGCTTCAAATATTGATTTACTTTCTTTGATTAATAGGAGAGTTGCGATAACAGCAATGTTAATATCATTAACATTGCTGTCGATGACCAACGTTGTTATAGTAGCAGCGAACCTATACCTGATTTACGTGAAGGTGTTTTGTGTATTTTGAGACCAGGTATCTAATTCATTATTATGATAGAAATAATAATAATAATAAAAATACTAATAATAATATACGTATGTGTTTTCATAGATATTGTTATTGACAAAGGTAACTTGCAAGGTAAATGGATAAAAATTATTAAACTCAATATCTTATAATTTTGAGTAAATTTTTATATGCAATTTTCTTAATAAAAATAGAAGATAATTCTTTGAATCAAGAACGGCAAGCACTGCTTGAAGGTAGCGATATAATATCACAAGGTTTTAATGTTTTTACAGAAGATGAGATGCGATGGTTGCTTAATAATATATAAATTTCTTTTATGTATATTTTTTCATAAATAGTATATAATATCCTATTCTTTTTATTTACTTTTTATTATTTTTTTTTTCGCAAATGAATTTTTCATTGTTATTTTACTAGATAAAATTCACAAGAAAAATTTTTAAAAAAGGGATAATTAACAAATTTATGCTTATTAATGAAGTCACTCGTGAAACTTTTTTCTTAATCATTGGGGAATGATTTATGATAGTGAATTTTGTTTACAAGTTCTTATTCGAATAAAAGGTGCTATTTGAAAAAGTTGTTATTCAAACCAATGAATGATTTGACATGTATTATTGCAAGAAAAATATCTGGCCTTCGACAAGTTAAATGATTTGGAAACTTTAGAAATTAAAAGTTTGTTGCAGTACTGAAGGGTTGTATTACTAGAATAGTGATGAAGGTTGGTCGATTTGCTATACCATGATTATAAAGACTTTGGAAAAATTCTTTAAGTGTTCATTTTTTTAGTTGATAATTTTGTTCTATATATAATATAAAATTAAAAATTACATCATCTAAACTAATACTAATAAAGAAATAATTTAGAAAGTAATTTACAATTCCCGATTAATTTTTGCGATCTGCAACTAGAAGATTCAGTTTTTTAATTTTTCATATTTATCAGTGAAATGATTGACCTAAAAAAACATTATAAAACTGAGTCACTTTTGACTAAGTGAAAAAACAACAGGTCAATTAATTAATATTTCAGAGCCTTGGTAATGAGTAGAGGTAGAAATATTTATTTATTATCATTAATTAATTGTAAAAACAATTTCATACATAATAATAAATAAATAAATTCATTATTTTGCTTATAAAAAAACACTTGTATTTGGAAATTAAACAGTAGGGTTTAATTGTCCATCTGGTTATCAGAGTGGCATAGAATTCTGAGGTTTTGTTTGTTTGTTTTGGTATAAAGCAAAGAAATTTTTGATGTTGGTTAACCAGTGTAATGTCAACAACAGTTGGTATAGAAATGATATTTCCCATAATTAATTCATAATTATGTTTTTAAAGAAAGTGGTAATTAATTACAATAATTACGAATTATATATTTATGGTAATTAGGTAACTACCATCTCATGTATATAATTAATACAATAATTTGAAAATAATAAAATAAAATATCACTCACAAGAGCAAAGGACATTCTCATCTAAATGTTAAAACAATGGTTCAACTAACAGGGTTTCCTTTTACCTAAAAGTTAAAATAAATAAAATATAAAATATAATTGCATGACCTTATTCTTATACCTTGATTAATGGAATTTCTTAATCCCATATATTATATAATCACCTTGATTTAACATTTCATACAATGGTATAATTGTCAAAATATTTTAACATTATTTTTTTATAACCATCCTTGAAAGAATCTGTTATAAATATTGCAATTCTCTATTCCATATTATTATAACAATTTAGATAGAATTCTTGAAGGCGAAAATGTTTAATATCCTCAAATTTTTAGTAAATATTTTCATGTTAATAATTTTCTATAAACAAAATATATAATTTCAAAAATCAAAGTTTAGAGATTTAACTATTGCGCCTAAATTATTAATTAAAGTTCATTCCAAAGATTAAAATTGTGTTTATTATCCAACTTCTTAGTTATTATTACTATTACAGTATTCTAGAACTCCAACAGTGGTGAGACTTCATTTTAAGATTATCACTTGGTGCTATTTGTTTACCTGGCAAAAAAATAGATCATTAAATCAGGCAAGTTTGTTTATACCAGAGTGATATTTTTCTTCGATTTTACATATAAAATTATATGAGTGACACTTGACTCCCTGTATTTACGCAATTTCCCGCGACTGATATAAAAAACGATATATTACTTGTATTACTGTGACACGCACTGTACTAAAATTTTCCTAGTTACACGGCTAGTTTTTGTAAAAGCCATTTTCGTTCCTTTTTTTTTATTCCAATTATTAAAAAAATGTCAATCCAGCAATTTAAAGAGTTACAGTTGCGGCATGTGCTGGAACTATACCAACTACTATATCAACAAAACCAGTATAAAAAGACAAAATTATTAGAGTTGAAGCAACAGTTGGAGCGACAGTTGGAGCAACAATTAGAGCAACACTTGGAGCAACACTTGGAGCAACAGTTGGAGCAACAGTTGAAGCAGCAGTTTGAGCAGCAAGGAATGCAACTATTACGTAAACAAGACCAAGAATTCCGATTGTTTTTACATCCAGCTTCACAAAAAATAGAAAAAGATAAGATGCGCCCACGTAAATACTCTCTACATGCGTGCAATTCGTGCTGTAGAGCACACCAAGCGTGTGTAATAGAAGAGAGCTCTGCTTCTTGTAGTAGGTGTATTGAGAAAAATTTTGAATGCACTTTTAAAAGGATTCGCAAAAAAAGAGGCAGACCTAAAAAAAAATCAAAGGTAAAACATCTTTTTCTTTAAAAAAATTTTCTTGTTTCGAATAATGATTTATTTTCTTTTTGATTAATAGGAAAACAGTAATGGCCATCAATGTTGTTATAGCAGCAACGAACCTATACCTGATTTACGTGAAGGTTCCAGTGCTTTTTGAGTTCAGGTATGTTTAATTCATTATTATTATGATAATATTGATAGAAATATTAGCAATAGTAATAGAAATAATAATAATAATAATAACATAAATAATACTTATAATACTTATGTAATTCGTAAATCATAATATATTAATATATTAAATTTTTATGTGATTTTCTTGATAAAAAAAAAAATAGAAGCAATTCTTTGGAACAAGCACTATTTTGAAGGTGGTGATATAAAGTTACTACTGGTAGTAACTATCTATTTTTCGTATATATATATATATATATATTATGTGAATATAAAAAATTTTACAAAATAAAAAAATTATTTAACACTCTTAAAATAGATGTTGCTTTTATTATTTTTTTTTCAAAATGAATTTTTTTTTCAAAATGGATTTTTTTTAAATGGAAATAAGAATGTAGGAATTTTGTTTATTTTTTTAGTCTCATTAATTTTTCTATGAAAAATTAACTAACACTAATACAGAAATAATTAAAAAAAACAAAGCTTCAGCCATTCCACAAATCCCCCCAATTAATAGCTAATAATATATAACAATACGTACATAATTTCGTAAATCATAATATATTAATATATTAAATTTTTTACATGCAATTTTCTTGATAAAAAAATTAGAAAGTAATTCTTCGGAACAAGCACTGTTTTGAAGGCGGTGATATATAATGTATTAATATCCTCATCTTTTCAAAGTACACCATCAACATATTCACATTCATTCACATCTTCGCATGATACCTATGACATTCAACAATAACAACCTTGTTACTCGAAGTGGCAATTTGACAGATTCATCACTTCAAGCTCCGTTGAACATCAGTTTCGATCTATTCAATGCATATTTGTTTGCACACCAACTTCAATGAGACAAAATTCCGCCTGGAAACATTTTAGCGATTTTGTGCTTGATCCAAGTGCATCATTATTTCCTATTCATCCTTCATTCCATCTGCTGATTTTGATACTTTTAGTTTTGTTATTAATTATAGTGGCGATGATGATTTAGAAGATCCGATGCAATACCGTAATTTGTTAGTATTAGTGTATGGTTTGCCAGGACATTTAACAATGCTTTATCAATGAATGATCAGAACATAAACACTGCATCTATTGATAATCACCAATTCGGTGTTCATATTAGAAATAACAAAAAAAGAATTGATATTCTACATTTTATTTTATTTTTTATTTTATTCAAAAAAAGAAATTCTTTACATATACATATATTATCTACACAAAAAGCATTTCACTCATTCACAACACATGTCACAAAGATATGTCGAAGTTGTAATATCTAGCGTTACACCACCAGCTGATGCAACCTCTACTACATATGCCCTTACAGTAGACATGCCTTCAGATGGAACAATTTTACCTCCTGGTCCAAATTGGCTCACTATACTTTATGATGGAGTAACTTGTGATTTCATGGGCAAACTCTTGGTTCAAAAACAACCAGCATAATAATAATGATAATGATAATAACAATAAAAATAACAATAACAAACTTTTTTTTTTTAAACTAATAGAATTTATATATTAAAAAAAAATTTAATAGACAATTTTTTTTTCCAATTAAATGGCTTTTTCCCACCTTTTAACCTTTTTTTTTTTTCGAGTTTCATTAACTTCACTTATAATATTAATTCTTAATTAATTGTATGTTTTATTATGTATGTATAAGTCATATATTAACAATCATCAAAACATTTATATTAAATAAAAATGAATTTAATTATATTAATATATTTTTTAGAGATAAAAAACTTCTCATTATGCCCGGTTTGGGAATTTTTATTGGATCAAAAAAAATATTTTGGTTTTATTATTTGCTAAAAACATGATCTTTAGTAAAAGATGTTATTTACTGTTGGGGATATTGTTCTAATTTTTAATAAAAGTATAATAATAATAATAATAATAATAATAAAAGTTGGACAAAAGGTAGATATTATTATTAAATTATTGCAAAATAATTTTTTGGGCCAGTAACTTTTTTTGAATCACAAATAATTTTGTGGATTAGAATTTTTAATAGTGATCATTGGATATCCATCTAATCAAAATTTTTTTTTGACTGCTTCATGTTAACTCAATTATTGCTTTCGATATAAATTTTATGAATATATAGCTTTTCCATCAACAATTTGTCCTTGCTCTTTTTTTTCCCCATCTCTTTCGCTAACACCGGTTCAAGTTATTCTGCATGATTTTCGAATCTTGTTTTTTTTTTTTTCAAGCAATTCATCAAATTTATTCCAAGTGTCAAAACAACACAAGAATTCTTTATTTCATTTGTCAAGCCACTCACAGAGAGATAACAAATTAGGCAACTCGAATCCCTTTTTTTTTTGCGCTATTGGAAAATTCTAACTATGTAAACTTGAGCCGGTCAATCTATATAAAATCGCGATAAGCACTTAACAATCTGCAGGTGTATGGCTAACTTTAAAATATAAGATGGCTGATTGTTATTAGAAGGAACTTTTTGTAATCAAAAGCATCCATTAGAAATGATGGTGAAGATCCAATATTTTTATTATAATCGTTGATTTTTTTTTTCATATATATGAAATTTTCCATGTATCATTATTATTTGATTGACCGGATTGGTCTTAGAAACAATTTCATTCGTTTAGAAGCATTCTTGTGAAATTTAGATTTTGATTTATCCCAAAAAAAAAGAACATAGAGACTTCATCACTATTCTAGTAATATAGTAGTATTTTACATTTCATTGGTTCAAATGATGACCTTTGTTCGAATTGTAACTTGTACAATAATAAATAACAAGCACAATAATAATAATTCTATTTATTTATAAATTATATATATATATATTACTTTTTCCTTTTTTATTCACCCAATTAAAAAAATTCATTTAGAAAAAAAATTAATAAAAAGCAAACGAAAAAGAATAGAAAATTTGTTTTAACTAATTTATCATTTATTTTGTAAAATTTTTTTATATTACAAAAAATTTAAACAACCGTTGTTCCTCTTCTGCTACCAATAATAAATTTACATCATAACCCTCAAAACAGTGCTTGTTCCAAAGAATTGCTTTCTATATTTTTTTATTAAGAAAAATGCATATAAAATTAATATATTAATATATTGAGTTTAATATTTACGTAACTATGTACGTATTATTATATATTATTAATATTTGTTATTATTTTTATTATTATTTTTATTTCTATTACTATTGCTAATACTTCTATCAAATATTATCATAATAATAATGAATTAAACATACCTGAACTCAAAAAGCATTCGGAACCCTCGTGCAAGTCACGGCCATTAGCCAAAGGTTCGCTACCACTATAACAACATTGGTGGCCATTTCTGTTATCAGAATTTTCCTATTAATCAAAGAAAATAAATCAATACTCGAAACAAAGAAAAATTTTTGAAAAAAAAAGATGTTTTACTTTTGGTTTGCGGCCTCTTTTTTTGATAGTTCTATCAAAAGTGCATTTGCTTTTTTTATCAATGCACCTATTGCAAAAAGCAGCTCCTTCTTTCATCACACAGGCTTGGCGTCCTTTATTGCATGAATCGCATGCAAGTCGAGAGTATTTAAATGGGCGTATCTTGCCTTTTTTTGTTTGCTGTGGAGGTGGACATGTTAGAAGCAGCAGCAATTCCTGGAATTGTTGAAATTGTTGTTGTTTTAGTTCCAATTTATGTCGCTGCTGTTGCTCTAATAATTGTTGTTTATTCGGCATTTTCTTCAACAATTGGAAGGATTCTTGGTCTTGTTGATTTTTTAGGTTTTGAAATTGTAGCGCATGCTTCTGTTGTAGCTCTGAAGATTGCAGCTGATTTGATAATGGTTGCGTTATTTCTTGGTTATTCGATTGTTTACTCGTCATTTTTTTAATAATTGGAATAAAATATATAAAAGGAAAAAATTAAAATTCCAAATTCCGAATTTCAAATTCTCAATTCAATTGATAAAGGAAGAAAGAAAATATAATTAATCAAAAACGAAGATTCAGTTAAAGAAAACTAATCAATCAAAAACGAAGATTCAGTTAAAGAAAATTAAACAAAAATGAAAGAAAATTCCTTTTATGTTGAATCAATTTTACGATAATTTTCCTGTTACACACCCAACTAATCAAGGAAATTCATTGCCGATCAAATAAATATCATTATATATTAAAAAAATATATATTTAAAATTATTATTATAATTAAACCGGCAAGTTTTTACAAAAATAGAAAAATGTTCAGCATTTAACCAATTTTAGATATAAACCTTCAATGGTAAAATGATGCAGGGAGTTAATACACATCTAAACTCGATAAGTCGGACGCAGCAATCAATTGTTTAAAGTACTTTATAATATAAATAAATGTCCGA